TCTTTTCAGTGGTGCCCAGCGACAGGACAAGGGGCAACGGGCACAAACTGAAGCACAGGAAGTTCCACCTGAACATGAGGAAGAACTTCTTTACTTTGAGGGTGATGGAGCCCTGGAACAGGCTGCCCAGAGGGGTTGTGGAGTCTCCTTCTCTGGAGATATTCAAGACCCGCCTGGACAAGGTCCTGTGCTGCCTGCTGTAGGTGACCCTGCTTCGGCAGGAGGGTTGGACTACATGGTCTCCAGAGATCCCTTCCAACCCCTACCATTCTGTGATTCTGTGACTCTGTGATTTAGGTAACAATGACACATATGACCTCCTTAGCATAACTGAGAAACAGGATTTGTACTGGCATGCAAAATCTGGACATCTTTGATGAATGAGATGTCCTGATGCCTCTGAGATAGGACCAGCAATAAATGATTGACAGTAGGTATGTAAGGACATGGGAGCTATTCTGTGGAGGCAAAGGTAGCACAGCGTCTCGGTAGGAAATGTATTCCAGAACCAATCTTACTGCTTCTTTCGCAAAGAGTTATAATAGATGCTTCTCTCCTTTCTAATACATGGCCTACTTTCAAAGTCAGAGCAGAGTGTATCACATATCAAACAGCGGCATGGCCTCTGAGTTGCCTTTTCCTGATCAGATTAGATGGGACTCTCATAACAAATTGAATGTTGTTCTTATTTATGAACAGTCATCTCTATTCTTTTAGACACTCAAGCACTTTCCTTGGAGGACATTCCTAATGGATGCAGGATTGTTTCCAGTCACTATCAACAACACAATTAATATAAATTACAACACGCAGGTACAGTGAGACAGCAGCCTTGTGCTTATGTCCAAAGACACAAAGGCAAGACGAATCTATGATACAGGAGGAAAACAAGCCAATACTATCTTGTTTCCTGTCTTTGTTTTTTAAAGAACAAAAGTGAACAAAATACGTCTCCCTCTTTTCTGTCCAAAAGGTCATTTTACCATTTACTTCACATTTGATCTTTCTGCAACCAGAGCAGAGCATTTTTATTGATAATGAACCTATACTTACCATTTTCCTAGTGTGCTAGAACTAGAGAATCAAATAATTTTTATGCATGTGCATATGCGTTTTAGGACCATGATGCTAAAAGCTTGGAATCTGTTTGTGCTTATAACACAAAAAAAATCTATGCTGACAGTTATCTGAGATTTGCTGCTACTGGTTAAGCTCTGCACAGCACGCCTTCAGAGACTCTCCCTTCCTCTCCAGCTGTGCCTGTGCAGCCTGAGTGATGCAGACCGAAGAGTTGCTCATGGGCAGCTGGTGGCAATGCAGTTTCTAATGGAGGATGTAGTGCAGAACAGCTATGGCTGTGCTGCAGAAGATCATGCTGACTGTCAAGCCTCGTTAGCTAAGAGCAAGCAGGTACCCTGACAACTCAGCTTGTTTGGGACTGTGTGGGGCTTCTATGTGGGACTCCCGTTAGTTTTTGCGACCAAAGCTCCGTGAACATAAGTGACCTAGACTTGAGGAAAGCTGTAATAACCTCACCTACTCCTGGCCATCTGGTAAGAAGCAAAGGGACCGATATTGTCTCCTACAGATCCTGAGTGCTCTCCTGGTGATGGATGCCCTCTGAGGGCCCGTTGGTATTGCCACACTTCTGGAGAAAACAGACTGTCCTGACTTCTCCCTTCACCCCACCAAAGGTGCAGCTCTTTCTTTATCAAGAGCTACTCAGTGCAAAGGGCAAAGGAGCAGCCTGGCTACTGTCTAAAACCAAATCTAGTCAGGGAGAGGCAAGGTACTTCCAGGCTGTACTTCCTCGAGTACCTGCACTGTGAACGTGTATGTGAACAATTGTTGCGGGGGGCACCTAAAGCCTGCCAGAAACTACCCAAAGATTTGGTTCAAGGAACGGGGAGAGATTCAAGCTGTTTCTGATGGCAAACAGATACACTGATGGATTTGTAAGGTAAAATGTGCGGAAAGGACAAATTTAGTTATTTTAAGGTCTGCTTCCTTCAAGATCTGACCTAGGAGTTTGATTTCTGCAACAGTACTGTTAGTAGAGACCAAGCAGAGAGTGATGCTGTTGAAGCAATTCACTTGAGGAAAGCAGCAATAAAACAAAACATTTAACTTCTGTGCAATTTTACGCCCAGCTCTGCTGTATGCGGGTGCTCGTTGCAATCAAAAAGTAGCCCCTTTTTTTCCTGTACCCTGCTCTGAAGGACACTGGTGTAAGGCCCCATTGCAAGTTCTGGTTGCTCAATAGCCTGTCGCATGCCTCGTCTCACTGTATATTTCATGAGATGCTATTAAGCAAAGAAAATCATGTGAAAAGCTGTTTGAAGCAAAACATTTCTCTGTGACTTCCAGCAGAATTTGGCAGAAATGGTTGACTCCAGTGCTAACTGGTTGCAGAACAGCAGAAAGACATGCAAACTTCTGCTGAGGCATCATGATCCGGTCATATCACTTAACTTGTTGAGATCTTTTCTGATACTATGGAAGCAACTAGAAATAATAAAGGCAGAATGGGGCTGGCTCAACCTGGGGACTGAGGATATCAATACAGTTCCTCTCTACAAAGAGTGTTGTAAGCAATATGGGTAAGTTACCTTGGATACAAAAATATTCCAGAGTGACTGAAAAGATGGAAAATGAGAAAAGTCTCTGCCTTCTCCATCCATTTTCCTCTTGTCCCCACTCTTTCACTTGCCTTTTTTTTTCATTTCTGCCTTTCTTTATTTTTGCTTATAATTAGCCGAGTACTTTCACTTTTCTCTAAAGGCTTGAGAGCTACCTTTTGTTTCTTTGTTTCAGTACAGTTGTTTTTTTCCCCTCTTTCAATGTCTGTTCAGACTGTTTGCTGATGTTTTGCAAGTGCATTCTTCTCAGCCGCGTGACCCGCCTCTGTATTTCAGATTCCATAAACAATGTTAAATACAGTACTTGAATAAATGGAAATTTTGGAAGCCTGTTAGATGAATTGTAGCAGATTTCTTCCATACCCTCCTACTTGGCTCAACTTTGAGCAGTCAAGAATAGAAAACTGGGAGATTTTAATCAGAGAGACCCTTCTGAAAGCAGAAAATGCTTTTTAAAAAGCCTTGTCCCCAGAAACTGCAAGAAAGGAAGTGAAAGAGCAAGATAACACAGTAAGGGTGAAATCCGTGCACGAAGGCGCTGGAAAACACGGTTGTCATGCAATGGAGAACAGAGGAAGCAATGCTCCGTGGGCCTGTCCCTACAAGGCCAAGCCATTTTAGATTGTGAAATCTGAATCTGCCACAAAAAAGTGTTGTGAGTGTGTAAAGACCTAGTATCAGATTTTCTCCATTCTGGTCTCCATTCATCTGTATCCCGGTGTTACCTCCCATGTATTACCACCAGACCAGAGGGGGCACAGCCCAGTGCTGGGGGCCCACAGTCTTTGCTTCTAACTAATTTATAAACTGTGCCAAGGGGGCAGTTCTGGGGTAGAGCAGAAATGGGTTGCAGGAGGGCTGGGATTCAGGGGCACAAGTTCTCCCTGCAGAGCGAGCAACAGCTTGTGCTTCCACCGTTAAGCTGGGCAGCTGTGGAAGAGCCCCGGCCTCAGCATCATTTCCCAGTCCCTCCACACCCAGAGCTTTCCTGTGGTGACTCCTGAGACCGGGCTTAGCAGTTATTGCCTCGTGGGAGGAGAGGTGAGCTCCCTGCCCCTGGCTTTGCTCACACAGGCCTTTGAATCATAGAATCATAGAATGGTAAGGGTTGGAAGGGACCTTAAACATCATCTGGTTCCAACCCCCCCTGCCATCAGCAGGGACACCTTCCACTAGACCAGGTTGCTCAGACATCCATACCACCTGGCCTTGAACACTCCCAGCAAGGGGGCAGCCACAGCTTCTCTGGGCAACCTGTTCCAGTGTTTCACCACCCCCATGGTGAAGAATTTCTTCCTAACATCTAATCTAAATCTCCTCTCTTTTAATTTACAGCCATTCCCCCTTGTCCTATCACTACACACCCTTGTGAAAAGCCCCTCTCCATCCTTCCTGTAGGCCCCTTCAGGTACTGGCAGGCTGCTCTAAGGTCACCCCGGAGCCTTCTCTTCTCCAGGCTGAACAGCCCCAACTCCCTCAGCATGTCCTCGTAGGAGAGGTACTCCAGCCCTCTGATCATCTTCGTGGCCCTCCTCTGGACCCGCTCCAACACATCCATGTCCTTCCTATGTTGGGAGCTCCAGAGCTGGATGCAGTACTCTAGGTGGGGTCTCACAAGAGCGGAGTAAAGGGGCAGAATCACCTCCCCCACCTCCCTTTGAGCAAGAGGAGTTTCTGTAGTGGCACCTGCATCAGCTCTTTCATAGCAAGCAATCTGCCAAATGTACTGCACCCAAAAATCCCACTGTGTTTCCCTCCTCCGGGTCCCCACTCATCCCCTTCTGCAGATAAGAGCTCCCTACTTCCCTCTCTGAGCTCTGTGCTAACCTTTGTGTCACGCTATCAAGGGTTTAAAAGGCAGCGTGATTAAAGCAATAAAATGTAACGAGGTATATGTGCCTTGCTAATGGCTCTTCTGCTTCTGAGAGCAAAGTGCTGGTCTGCCTTGGCGCTCAGCACTCAGAAGCACTTAGCAAACCCATGATCAGAAAGGAAGGGGCGCAGGGGGAGGAGGCGGAGGGAGTTTCTTGGTCTATTTGAACGACGGTGATAGACAAGTTCTTACCGGTGACCAGATTTCCCTGCTTTACCTGGTTGATTCCTTGTTCCTTCTTTTTTATTATAAACTTGGAGAAATCATTAAGCTGTGTAATAAGGCAGGACCAGTGAAGAAGAGACTGTCCTGTCCCACGTGTAGGTCGAGCGAGTCTGATGCTATGAGCTGAGATTTAATCATGTTCTGCATGAGTTAGGAACAGGGGCAGGGGAAGAAACAGGAGGGTTAAGGTCCAAAGTCAGTAAATGAAAACACAGTAATTTTGAGAGAGAAGGTGTGAAATACCCACACCTTGGTGATTCTAGCACAGCTATCCTGTACCTGGCCGTGAAAGCCACAGTCAGACCAACGGGCACAGAGGAGGAGTTTGGAGAGCCTGTTACAAGCACTCAGCATGTATTTGTCCCCAGAGGAGCATCAGAAATTGAAATGAACGTGTACCAGGTAAGGGGAGGGTTATTAGCGGGGTGTCAGGGGGTCCACACAGTGTCATGTTTTCCTGCAGTTTCCAGCAGGCGAAGTCCAGCGGGGGCCTGTGGAGGCTGTGGTGGGGGCAAGTTTGGTGGATGTGGGTGAATCGGGAGGCTCTGCAATGGCAGCTCTGCTGCGTGGAGCCAGCTGTGGGTCCTGGGAGAGCCCAAAGCAGCAGCGGAACCTGCCTCTGTCGCAAGTATTTGTGGCAAGGCACTAGGCGTATAGTCACCCCCAAATGATATTAACCTTGATACTGTATCCTCGCACAGAGGCACACAGACTGGGGCTGCTTGCTTGTCTTGCCACCTCAGAGCCCAAAGCAGCAGCGGAACCTGCCTCTGTCGCAAGTATTTGTGGCAAGGCACTAGGCGTATAGTCACCCCCAAATGATATTAACCTTGATACTGTATCTGAAGGTACTGTGCTTTAGAGAAGAATGGAAGGAGAGTTGCTTTGGTTTAGTCTGCTATTTTCTGATAGTTGGCAAGTTGCTTTATAGGCAGTACAGAAATTTAGTAAGAGCTAAGTATTAAACTTGATTCTAGCTTCAAAAGCTTCTGGAAAGCCTAGAAATCCACGAGCCATGATGTGCAGAAGAAAATTAACCAGGAGATGACTCTAGTGATTTCTGAAAGAGCCAGACAAGAGAATACTCTCCCCACTGGTAAGGAGAATTAAAATACCTTTCCTGGGAAACACGGGAGCCCCAATCCTGAGTAGGAAAAATTGCTTTGATGCATAAAGGTAGCAGAGACTTCTCATGCATGTGGACAGAAGAGCACATTTGCTTCCAGCTCTCTGCTTCCCAGTGCATCCATTTGGAGGCCAGGGACCAGCTGAATCGTGGGGAATGTATCACTGATGAAAACCAGCTTCCTCTCAGGAAACTCTCTTCTGTTTTGGAGAGCCCATTGCAAGAAATTCCAGCAATATATCTAGCAGGAAGCCATGAAGCATTGTGCACTGAGATACCATAGGCCTTTCTAAATGGACCTGTTTATTCTGTCTGTTCAACAGATTCAAATTCCCTAAATCTAAGAGTTCACTTTGTCTTTATAAAGTGAATGTTTAGCCATAATCATTGCAAAGACAATTGCGCAAACAAGGCTGAACACCAATTACTCTGAAGTTTGCAGGCAGCCTGAAACAGACGATAGGAAGTTACTTCTCTGCTCCTCTGTGTTGGAGTGTTAATATTTTAGGCCTAGCAGTGCAATTTAAATGCCAGACTTTTTAGCATGTTAGGTGTTTACTTGGTGTTAATTACTGCATGGGTGTGGGCAATTTGGGTATTCACAGGCACAAAAAGAAAAAATGGAAATAAAAGGGAAGAAAAATGTGCCATACTGCCACTGGTTGTGGTTGCAGGCAGCACTAATTAGTGCGCAGAAATGCTCAATTTCACACAAAAGCCATATTCTTTACTTGGTATTTACAGAAAACTCCAATACACAATTGTGGGCCAGGTCATTATTGACAGAACTGGCCCATAATGAAACTGCATTTTGGCTTTGATACCAGAATGAATTTGCTATTGCTGTTTAAGACGGGCTTTGCAGTCTGTCTGCAATGACATTTACTTTCTATTGTAAACATTTTAGGAAAGCTGAGAAACCCTAAGCTATGAAGCAAACCCAGTGTCAAATCCCAGGGATTACTGAAGGATCAATATGTTGTGACAGTGATAGCCACTGATGTGTAGTTTTATTCTGTTTTTTGGTTTTTTGTCTTTTTTTTTCCTCTCTGCTCCTGCAGAGCTCTAGAAACACAGGGTAATGCAAGAAAATTTCTCAGTTGTACGACCACAGATAGTTGAAACATTTGTTCAAAGCTGATGGAAAACTACCAAGAATCAGATACAGAGGTACATATTCTGCATTTCTATCTAAGCAACAGCTAAATTATGTTTACAGCTTTACTTATTAAAGCTCTTGTCAATCAGTGACCTAAAAGAGAAACACATTTCTGAAGCTTATGAGCATAGCTTCAGATTATGTTGGTTTGTAATAGCAGCGTTGGCAGCAAACTTGTGTATTGCCCTACTGCCTTCTGACAGGTTTATTTCAGCTCTCAGGACTGTAATAATGTGAAGATGAGTTAGGGCTGGAGGTTTATATGCAACCGCAGTGCAGGATTGCAGGACTTTCACAGCTTCAGGAGTGGGAACTCCTCTTCCTGAGTCATTGCTAGATCAAAGATCCAGCACGATGCTATGTAGTGGTTTTACGGGGTTTTTTTCAGTGAAATTCCAAGAAAATATTTATGAAAATATGACCAGTTCTGGTTAAAAACCTGAAGATATATTTTTGAGAGAAGGGTTGTTGGGGCCCAACTGTAATCCAGGCGGTTTCTGGGCTGGTGATTGAATTTGTCTACAGAAAATTCTCTTTTAGCTTCAGATGGAAAAAAAATCCTTTATATAGTTGCAGCTAGAACCAGTCAAAAAACTGACAAATCTGTTTTCCATTAGTTCAGTGAAACTGTAGATTGGACAAAAACATTTACATCGAATAATTTTATTTTTGCTTCGTTTTGAGATTGCAGAAGCATTTTATTTACAGTAAGGCGACCATGTTTCATTTTGACGTGTGCTGTCTATAGCAACTCTTGTGGCTCAGGCCATCTGCAAGGTTTTTTATTTTGTTTTCCTAGGTTACTTTTAAAAAAAGCCATTTTCAACAGTGTCTCACCATACTGGGCGATGACATCACGGCCAGAGAACGCAGCAACTTTGAGACCTACTCCATGTTTTATGAAAATGTTCTCCAGCAGCATTGTTTACTTTACCAGAAAGAACAAGTATGCTCAGAGCATTGATTCTACTCTTTGAGAACTGGGGAAGGTGGTTTCTTTGGGTGGGAGGCTGTTGCTAAGTCAAAAATAAAGTCAAGCTGTCAGGCTGGGAAGTTGTTGCAGTGGAGCTGGGCTACACAAGCATAGTCACCGTGCATCTCTGTGCTTTGCTTCAGGATCTGCGCGCAGTGGAAGGAGGTGGCAACCAAAGCGATATGCCTCTGATGCAGGTTGGTGATGGTGGTCTGTCAGTTGGTAGTACCTAGTGGTTCCTTTGGAACAGAGCCCCGCTGTGCAGACACATGGTGACAGCCTTTGAGAAGAGAGGGGGGGGGGGGGTTTGCTATTTCTGTGCTCAGCGCCAGAAGGACTTGTAAAACCAAGATAACCTGAAGGCAAATGTAGTGGCCTGCTGTTCTCTGGTTCGTGTTCACAATGGATTATAGACTGGTAACCTTCTAACTTCAACTTCTACTTACGGGTCTCTTCCTTTACAAGGCATTTTCTCAGAGCAATTCATTCCTGTGCACTGACTGAGACAGACAGAACACAGAAGTGGGTCAGGCATGTAAGCCATACGGCAGTGTAGGTACCAGGTATCACAGAATCACAGAATGTTTGGGGTTGGAAGGGACCTCTGTGGGTCATCTAGTCCAACCCCCCTGCTGAAGCAGGGTCACCTACAGCAGGCTGCACAGGACCTTGTCCAGGCGGGTCTTGAATATCTACAGAGAAGGAGACTCCACAACCTCCCTGGGCAGCCTGTTCCAGTGCTCCGTCACCCTCAGAGTGAAGAAGTTCTTCCTCATGTTCAGGTGGAACTTCCTATGCTTCAGTTTGTGCCCGTTGCCCCTTGTCCTGTCTCTGGGCACCACTGAAAAGAGTATGCTGCATAACCAGCTCTTCTTAAGTTCTGAGTACTTGGCTTTGGAGCTTCAGCTGTGTTTTTTAGGATAGCTGGTATGTGTGGGTGGATTTTTCTAAAGAAGTAAACCCAGCCAGTAAATGAGAAATGCTATCTTGTGGAATCATGCAATATCCATGTAATCTATTAGCTGACTTGGAGGCTTGGTTCCACCACTACAAACTGCACGGCTAGAGGCATATCAGCTTCTACAGAAACCTACACTAGGGAGAAGGCTGCTTGGCTTTTGGGGATGTTTGCACAGCAGTGTTAGAACACCTGCATTTTGGATTTCATTCCTGGGCTCCTTTTCTCATCTGTCCTCATCACTGACTACAAGATTTCAGTTCTTGTCTGGGCTTCTTATCAGTTTCTTGCCCTACTTTCTCATGCTTTGTCCATTTTTTTGCCCCTATATCCTTTTCTGTAGTGTCATCAGCAACCTCCCTTATTCCCTGATTTCACTGTCGTGTCTGTATGTTTGGGAAGGCTGGAGCAACAGAGAAAATGAGAAACACGTGTGAGGTTTCAGCTGGGTGGAAAGATACAGGAGAAGGCAGTAGGACTTTCCTGAATCTTGTGGGCAGTGGAGCCTCGCCCCTCCTCCACTTTGCTAGCCCATCACCACCAAACCCCTGTCTCATCTGCCGCTTCCTTCAAGTACAACACAGCTCACCCCTTGTGACCGGCCACCCTGGGCAGCTGCCTACTGCCTCTGGGCTCTGCTTCAAACTCACAAGAGAATTCCTGCACCCAGCTCCACTTCTTACTAGCGTAAAGCAATCAACAGAGGCTATTGCAAGTCTGAAGAGCAAGCTCAGATGCTCAGTGGAGGTGTTAGAAACCAAGGTCCAGTGCAGCCTGCTGTAGGTGACCCTGCTTCGGCAGGGAGGTTGGACTAGATGACCCCCAGAGGTCCCTTCCAACCCCGAACATTCTGTGATTCCGTGATTCTATTCTGTGAACCACATGGGCTGGTTTTATTTCTCCAACAAAGTCTTAGGATTTGACCAACTTTTTGCTGCTTTTACAAAAAAAGACAAAATAGAGGAAATAATGTTGTTCTGAATAAAGATCACCAGAATTTTTCAGCAGGGCTAAAATCCATGTATTTTTCCCCAATATTCATTTTCAGAAGTCTCTCAGTAATGTTTGCTGTACAACAAAAAGTTGACACAGAAAATTTCAATGAGAATTCAGTGAAGTTATTACCATTTACTGCTTACATCTGGCATGTGGAGGTGCCAAGCAGCCTTGAAAGCAGACTGTGCAGTTGGCTGTGCCTACAGTCTGCAGTTGTGCCTATTTCTTATCTGAACAACATAATACGCTAAGAATGATTTTTAGCTTTCCTCCATTGTGTTCATCTGGTTGCAAATGCTCTTTGGTGGTATGAAAATGACCAAACCTGTGACCAAACCTAAATACCTAGCAATGACCTACCCATGTGAAATTTAAATTCTGTCATTTACATCTGTTTAAGTTCTATCATGTACCTTCCTGTTTGTGTTGATGCCCTTCCTGAGGGTGTGTTAATTGTCACATATCAACAAATGGAACCCATAATTGTTTTTATTATGTAATAAATGGTCTGTATGTACAAGCTTATCAGCAGACAACATATTTACTCCTATAAATGCATTATCTCACAGCTTACTGAACAAAGCCTGGTCACAACTCTTCTGACTTTCTCTCTGGAGGCAGGGGAGATTATGCTCTGGGAGGCCAGGCTCACTGACACAGCACAGCCATACACAGCACCTACTCTGAAATTCATATTCCCTAATCCTGCTCCTCAGTGTTTCTGCTCCTCTGTCCTCTGCACACATTTCCTTCTATCAGTTCTCATACCTATTAACGCAGAGATCTTTCTTTCCTGATGACCAGAAACAGACATTTTAAGGTTATATGTGAAACTTACGCATTTGGCCCCTTCAAATATTGGTCATGAACCGCCACAATTCTTCCTACTGTTTTAGGGAAGAAATGTTTCTAAAACCAACAGAGAAGTACAAATTGGATTATTCCATATCACCAGTAGATTATTTTCATCAGACCACTCAGTTAGGAAGACATGCTTGCTCTACTTAATTAGGCATCACACAACGTATTCAGAGCTCTGGATGGTTTACTGTTAGGCTATGGGCTTTGCTCATCCCTAGCTTTGCTCATTCACCTCTCTGCTGTGACAGATTGTGAAGCTGTGCCATGGGATGATTATGCAAATAACAGCTCTCAGAGCCCAGCTCGCTGACTTAGAGGAAGAAAATCTTGGTCTCAAAGAGAAGATTAGAACAGAAGTACGGGATGAATATGAATCATTAGTGTGGAACCTATTTGTGACTTGTGTCCATCTAAATGTAGGTACAGAAGAAGAGGGGTTACTCAATCAGTCTTTTTTGTGCTGCTGTATAATTTGCCAACAAGTGTAGCACTCAAAGGAAAAAATGGCTTCAGTGTGCCAGGTGGGTGAATGGGTGAATCATTTATCTCCTGCTGCTAGAAGCATCTTGTAAAAACATCTGGTAGAAGAATAGTGTACCTTTTCCAAGAGATGAGGCATATTCTCGATGGAACAGGTACCACATTAGAGAGAGTGATGGAAGCTCTTTTTAGTTACCATGGAGGGAACTTTTTGGATATAATAGTACAGTTTGTAATATTCTGCACTATTTTTCTTGGAAATTTCATGTCTACCACATAATTGTATTGCTCCCTCTAACAATGCCTTTGCTTTCATGTAGTCCACTGATTTCTTCAGGGTGACATATGTCATTACTTACAAAAATAAGATGCCCCAATCTAGCCTCTAAAAACTGCCCTGATTGTGACCGTGTGTGTTATAGAGCAACTACCTGCATCAGACCCCCAGGATTTTGATTGATGTTCCACGAGCCCATTAATGTCTGTGTCCAGGGCAATAGTGACTTGAGGAACATTGTGATTTCTTTTGCAATCCTGAGGGTGAGTCCAGTTTTCACCAGAAAGCCTATTTTTTCACCACAGTGCTGCTACTTCCATTAAATACATACATCCCAGGATAGCCAACAGTAAATGATACAATTGAAATTCCACTTTTTGTAGTGTCTGGATGCAAGAAGAATGTTGCTCTGTCTTCCTGTTACATTGATTCTAGGAAAATAATTAGGAAAAAAGACCACCTGGTTGTAGTTGAGAGACTTCTGAAATCTTCTGAATGTTGCTTTCCAATATGCGCACACTTCATCTCTTGTGGGTTCTGTTTGTAATTGCAGGGAAAATTGGATGTCTATCGCCTTAGCATTGAGCAACAAGTGTTTGAAATCATCAGTGACGTGAGAAGAGAAGGAGTTGACAGCATAATTGATCTGAAGAAAAAGTTTGGCTCCACTAAAGATAATGGTCACTTGAAAGAACATTTGTCTAAAGTAAGGAAATACATATCTGCGTCAGTAAATAAACACAAGGATAATATCCTGGTTAGGCTTGCTGAAGATGGCTTAAGTTATTGCACGCTATCTGAGACACCGCTTGGGTGAAGAGCATGGAGGTGGTCCATTACTGCACTCTGTTAATGGCTAATCATTTGTCAGGCTGTCATGAGTCAATCATCTTTGACTGCGTGTTTATGCTCCAAGTGCAGAAATTTTGGCCCAAACCCAGCCCTTAGACCCTGAATAACTGCAAGTGTTTAAACTGAATTTGGTGCTAAACTTAGGAACCCTGCTTTTAATCTGTTCTGAGTGAAACTAACATCATGCTTTCTACACAGGTGAACATCAGAGAGATTGAACTTGGACCTGAAGAAGTATAAATGTGAACTCACATTCAACCATAGGTCAGCATTGTCATGTGTTGTCATTGTCCCTTTCTTGGGTGGGGGAAAGAGCATGTGATGTTTCTGTGACCATGATAAATGTATTGATGGGAGTTCTAGCTTCCTGTCCTGCAAGCTGGTCATATAAAAGAACGGGGACAGAATCCTTTTTTCCACTTGGGGTTACTTAGAACCAAAAATATATTCAGCTTTATGTTTTTAAAAAGTGCTCCCAAAACTGATGTTCTGGGAGTTATAAGCTGAGGCTGGAAAGTAATTGCCAGGCTACAACTTCTAAATCAATCCCTTTTCTAGTCAAACATAATCCTCCTCAGCAAAGTTCAATTTGTACCAAAATTATGGTAGTCAGTCAGCGAATACAAATGAGATCGGACGGATAATGGCTAAATACTTCCGTCTGAAGCAAATATGCCTGCAGATCTCTAAAGCAGAGAAGCTCGCGAAGCAGGATATAACTGCAATGCCAACAGAGTGAGAAGGGCTTTCAACACCCCCAGTTAATCTGGGGGCTAGGGACACCCAGAAGTAAATGAGGAACCAGTGGAACTAGAAGACATCTGTGTGTGACAAGGCTGCAGGGAGACTCCCACACCCCGTCTTGGAAAGGACAGTGTGCAGAGGCAGCGAACAAGGAGAGCGGGGAGCCCATGTGCAGTCAAAGGGCTGCGGGTTGAGCAGAGTCACAAGAACGTGGTGGGCTAGTGTATACCAGGGTCGTGGGTGGTTACAGGGTGTTTAAGAAGGATCAGCAGGGAAGAAGAGGAGCGAGAATTGCACTCTGTGTAAGGAGTTCATTCCCCACGCAGAGGCTGTGTATGAATGTGGAGATGTACTACTGAAAGCCTCTGAGTCAAGGTCAGAGGAGGGAGGATCGTTAGTGATGATTAATGACCGTGGTGGGGAATCTGTTAGAGACTGCCTGATCAAGAGAATAAATTCGATGGGTCTGCCTATGGAGGGCCAAGAAAAGTGGTTTTAATTTGAGGTCATGGTGTTCATGGAGGTTTTATCCATCTGGAAAACTACTGAAAGGGGAACACGGCATTGTAAAAGGCTAGGCAGTTCCTAGACAGCATCAGTGATAATATCCTAAAAGCAAATGCTAGAGGAGTCAACCATGGTAAATTCCTAATTCTGCTGCCCACAAACAGGGAAAAACTGGTGGTGAGTGTCATCTGAGGCTGCAGTGACTATGAAACCATTTCAAGACCAGGAAAAAGGCTGCAAAAATGTGCTGCAGAGCTAGGATTGAGACTTCAGGAGAGTGGACTGTGACTTGTTTAGGGAACTGCTAGGCAGAATCCCTGGGAAACTGCCAAGAGGGTAAAAGTGCCAAGGAAAGCTGGTTAATTTTTAATGAAAACTTAAAGAGATTTCAGAACCAACTACCCTGTTATGGAAGAAGACCAAGGAGTTTAGCAGAAACTTGGCCTTGCTTGCCTTAGCAAGGAGCTTCTTAAAGGACTCAAACACAAAGACTGCCAGTAGTGAAAACATGACCAGGCAACAAAGGTAGAGTATCAGAGTTCAGATTCACAGTGATGAAATTAGGAAGGCCAAAGCCTGGCAGGAGATAAAACTAATACGGGACACAAAGGGTAAGAAGGTGTGTTGACACTGAATGGTAGAGCTTCTGTGCAGAGACACCTCTGACAGGAGAGCCAGGACCTCCAGCAGTCCTCTGAAACCCTTGTTTCTATGATTTTTGCATTATGAAACTGCTTTCCTCTGCCTTAAGAAGAGTTTTCAGGAGGAAGTCTTCTATTTTGAACAAAGAAGATGAAAACCTGATGACTACACTTTTCATGAATCCATGAATTTTGTTCTTATTAAGGACACTGTAATTAGGGTGAACCAGGTTACTGAATATGGTATGAACCAGAATCCCCATTTGGCGTAACAGTGTTTATCACCACTAACAGTGTTTCATTTCGGAGGGGTTTGCCTGCTTGCTCTTTTGGATTAAATTTCTTCCATTTTTCTTCCCAGTTTCTGGGCAATGTTCACATTTCCTGTTTCCCTGGAGACACAGTAGTAGAAATTTATGGCCGAAGGCTGCACTGTTTCAAACTGCAAAGTTTGAGCGTTTGAAAATTAAAATGAAATACAAATAGTTGCACGCTTTTACAACTGTGTTTACTTCCAAACCACACAATTCTTCCTAGGGAAATTAATCTTTGCAGGTCTACTCTTACCAACATCATCTTTAGCAGGAACAGCTGCAGCTCTTGCGGGACGAAAATATCAGGCTAAAGACGCTGGTTTGTAAGCTAAAGGCTCTGAACTGTTGGAAGCAAACCACTCAGAAGGCACAGCTCTCTGCAAAGCTTAGAGATGCTGAGAAGGTGATATTTCCCTACCATTTCATTTGTTATTAGTGTCTGATTTTCTGCAAAACTAATGGTCAGATTGGGCAGGCTCACTGTTACTCAGCAAGTCTGTAGGATCTCATGGCAACTGCAGATTTTAGGTGAAAATTCTGAACTTCATCTTCTGTATTATGGGTATAAGGGTGGTCTTCAAATGTGGAGCATGAAACAAATCCCTGATGGCCGCTTGAAGCAAGAGTCTAAGAAGTATGAATAGCCTTAAGTATTCTTAATTCTGTTGTTGACTCAGAAGACTAATTATGATATTGTATTAAAATTGTGATTGTTTCACGAGTGACCAAACATATGAAAAAGAAGACAGGCAGACATGAAGTGAAAATTAACTAGACTGCTGGCTTGGGAAGTGACTGAGGTGTTTTGGTTTTTTTTGTTTTGTTTTTTAAATTGGTATCTGCTAAAACAAAGCAGAACACAGCATGAGGTTTATAAATTTAATTACAGAAATACAAGATGAAGCACAAAAATGACTAAATTAAACTACAGTGAAGATGGATGGAAAGAAAAGCGCCTCACTGCTTTAAATGAGGCTGATTAGAATGGAACAAACAGGTTATTGATTGTTACGTAGGTTAATTAGCTGCACATGTCAAACAAAGGAAAGGCAGAATGGATCATATTTGTTAACTTAGAAAGAACGAAAACAAAATGGGTTTTGTGTGCATGTTAATTTTAAACCCAAATAAAACTGGATGTGCATATATTCATTTCAGTTATATCAGGGAGATGCTAAATCATTAGAATATTTTATTAAACAGATCAGTCAAAGATGGATTGAGTTATTGCAAATTTGTGGATTTAAATAAGAAATAAGAGCTATCTTCACAGGATTTAAAAGAAAAGTTTGAACCTGAGAAAAATAAATGGGAAAATTTGGCTTTTTTAAATTAGAAACTAGCTCATCTTGTTCAGACAGAGCTTTCTTGTGTCTGACTGGAGTAATCCTGAAGAGCAAAGAACTTCCACTGTATTTCAGTGTCCTCCACTCCAAGTGCAGAGGATCGTGAGCCTCGCTTTTTCCAGTTTAAATGGCTGGGAAAGGAGAGGGGGCTGCTAAATTGGTGCCTGACATAGTAACATGTATATACGAGTTTACGTTTGTGTTTAAAACAAACAAAAAGACCCTGCCCAAAAGCAAAACAAGCTTCCTCACACACTTTTTTACTTTAGTGATAATGAAGGAATAAACAGATTGGTAGATGGACAGGTCTTTCTAATTCATAAGAAAGATCAAGTTTCGCATTGCTCTGAGCTTGTTTGAACACAAGAACTTGAATTGTTGACATGTAAATATAATTAAAGATGTGCAGTTGTACCCATATGAAAAATTATCTTGTGTTTTCCCCTTCAGAGGACTCCTCTTGTCCATCCTGTTCCCCATTTTGCCTTAAAAAAAGGTCCAGCCTTTATTGGAGAGTAGGAACAATTCAATTTCACTTTACTAAAAATCTCCAAGAGATTTACCTTTCAAGAGACCCACTGCTATCTAAAAGCGAGAAAATCACTGCTCTCGTTCTTGTTTCTGTTCTGTACTTTCTGTTTACAGGAAGCTCTTCAAAACAAAAAACTGTCTGAATGCTAAGATGATGGCAGAACAAGAGGTGACTTCGTTTCAGGGCCAGCTCATGTCTGTAAGGAAAGCTCTTGCAAAATCTCAGGCAGACAATGACAAGCCAAAGAAACAGCTACATAAACAGGTCTCTGAATTCAACAGGTCCTGATTCATCAGTGCATCAAGCTGAATTCTCCTTTTCATCTCACTTGCCTTATGAGGATTTTGCCTACTGTTATTCTAGGAGAGAAATGGATACAAAACTAACTGCGCAATACAGTTACTGGAGCTGGAGGTGTACTTTATGGCACTGAAACAAGGTGTAAGTCTGAGTGTTTTCACCATTGCAGCTAGAGAGAACCAGGGAAAAATCTGTAGCATCTCGAATAAAGTTTGAGTCGAGTACCAAAATGACAGCTACAGGCACTTCATTTATGTATGCCATCAACAGTGCTGGATGTGTGAGTAAAAGACAGTATTTTATCCCACAGATAAAAAAAAAATTAAACTACAGATCTTGAGGCTATTAGTCTTCCATACAATTGTTAAATTTCAAGGAAACATTCAGATATGTTGCCATTAAATCCAGAACAAATTCATTGCATGTTTTTTTCCATGGGTATCACTGCCAGAGCAAGCTCCCTTTCACTTCCACAGATGGCTACACATCCTAAAATGGCCCATTCCTCAAAGTCAAACTGAACAGCACATCATTCACTTGCAATATACTTAATGCCAAGCAACATGATTGTATGGAAAATAAGTCTTGTCAAACCAGCCTCATTTCATTCTGCTGATAAGATTACAAGTTAGATAGATAAATATAATGCTAGAGTTGTAATACATATTTGGAAGGGCCTTGTAATATCTGGGTTAGTAGTACATAACTTTTGTATTTTAAATTTTACTATTACACAATATCAATAAAAATACTAAATGGATTGAGAGCTAGATCTTTTGACATATAAAACCGCATTATTTTCATTAAATGTAGATGGTTTCTGATGGATTTCTACAGCGGTTGGTAGCAGAACTAT